TAATTTGGTTGATAAATTCAGTGCATACACACACACAAACACACAGACCAGGTTATGTGCTCAACCTTCTCTGAAGATTCCTGAAAAATGAGGGTCACCTCAAGCTTGAAAGAAGAAAAGTTACCTATCAGGACAGTGAAGGATTTTTTGGTTTGTTTTTAATGTAAAATCACAATGTTCTACTAAATTAGAATTCTTAAAGATCATGAATACTGAAATACTCAGTGAAATGTAATTAGGAGTTTCATGGCTTTTGGAAGAAGTTGTCCTTGGGTGGAATGAGATCTGCAGGGAAGATGAGAAGAAAATCTAAAAGAATGCAGACTTAGAACAAGATGGTAGCATAGTGTGATACAGAGGGAGAAAAGGATGAGCTCCTGGCCTGAGGAGCTTGCACTGTCTCTTTTAAGGTACAAACTGGCCCAGACTTTTTTTCTCAGTTGTATTCTGGAAAGATAGTTTCCCTTGTAGGATATAAATACTATAGCAGTCACCTCATATTTCATGCAATTTGAAAAATAGTTTCAGTGAGGTACTAGATGTAAAAGTGGAATATAGGTTGTAGAAGTTTTTTAAGAGAGTCTGTGACACACTGTTAGTTTAATTTTGTTTTTTAATGTATCTTTACAAACTACACAAAAAATTTAATCCAAAACTGGAGGATGCTCTTACTATATAGATAAAAGAGAGAAAAATCAAGTGTAGTTATTTATTTATTTATTTTATTTTAACCACATAATCTGCATATTTTTCACCGTGCTTACTTCAATAGGAAAGAAAAAAGTAATTCTATTCATATATTAACGTAACCATATTTTAGAGGAATATAGTAGAATCATCAACTAGGATGGTCAGTACCAAACAACTGAAAAGTTGTTTATAATATTAAAATACTGTAATTTCCTCAACCTGAATTTAGAGTATCAGAATTTAAATATCTTTAGTGATACATAAAAACACAAGCATAACTAAATCAATACGTAGGAGCATAAATTATAGCACTTCCTGATGTAAATGTTTTGCAAGACCTTTTACTCTTACTATAAAATTAAAATAATATGAATATGTATGGTTATATGTTACATATAAAATTATAAAAATAGAAGAAAGTAGATTTTAAAAGTGCAAGCAAAAGGAATCACTTAGAATTGCCTAAGGATACTATTGAAAACACTAATTGTGTTATGCTAATTGGATTCAAACTTGCTTTTCTTTCTCCCAATATTCTGTAGTTCACTTTCTAGTGTTTAACAAAAATTAAAGTGAAGATTAAATTCATTCTTTCTCTTTGAATTTGGAGCTATATAACATAGGATACTGTGACTGATTGTATTTTCTCTGACATGCATATGTTTGGTATTCTGTTTCTTGATCATTAAGACACTAGAGATTTCATTGAAGAAAAATATAATCTTAGGTTAATATAAAATCTGCTGGGTATGGTGGCGCAAGCCTGTAATCCCAGTGGCTCCGTAGGCTGAGATAGGAGGATCTCAAGTTCTATGCTGGCCTCAGCAAAACCAAGGTGCCAAGCAACTCAGTGAGACCCTGTCTCTAAATAAAATACAAAATATGGCTAGGGGTGTGGCTCAGTGGTTGAGTGTCCCTGAGTTCAATCCCCAGTACCACCCCCACAAAAAAAAATCTAGGGATTTTTATTCTTTTGTATCTTTCGGTTTCTGAACTGTGTTTTAAAATTTTCTGCCTAATGTATGTATTGATTTTCTTTCTTATATTTATAAATTAGTTATTTATGTTTTGAGCCTCTATTAGTTGAATGAATATGAAGGTGATTATTTTCATATTTAACTATTTTAATTGTTACCTAGTAACTTCCAGTATCTATCTTGTATTCTTTTTCCTTAGTCTGTTAGATAAAAATCTTGTTATACCAATTTTCTTTTGGACTTTTTTTTTTAAATTTTTTAGTTATTGACAGACCTTTATTTTATTCATTTATTTATATGCGGTGCTGAGAATTAAACCCAGTGCCTCACATATGCAAAGCAAGTGCTCTACCACTGAGCTACAACCCCAGCCCCTCCTTTGGACTTTTGAGGGTGTTTTGTTTGTATGTTTGTGTGTGTTACTTAAACTTTTTCTTCCTTATAGTTATTTATTTATTTATTTTAAAAAAATGTTTACTTAGTTACAGATGAACACACAGTATCTTTATTTATTTTTATGTGGTGCTGGGGATTGAACCCAGTGCCTCACACATAGGAGGCAAGCACTTTACCACTGAGCTACAGCCTCAGCCCCCCTTCCTTATATTTATAAGTTAGTTATTTATGCTGGAGTTGTTGCTCAGTGATAGAGCACTTGCCTGGCATGTATGAGGAGGCCCTGGGTTCTATCCTCAGCACTGCATATAAATGAATGAATGAATGAATAAATAAATAAATAAGATCCATTTACAACTAAAAAAATATTTAAAAAATAAGTTATTTATGTTTCTCCAAAAGTAACTGCTAGTCTGAATTTTAAGGTAATCATTTTCTTCTATTTCTTTTTGGTTTTATTAGCTAAATGTGCAACTCTAGGCTCTATAGTCTTATCCATCCTTAAAAAAATTTTTTGTTTTTTAGATCTTATAATCACAGGTCCCCCTGTCCCTGCCCTTGTATCTCATTTATTGATGAATCCTGACTTTTTGGTCTTTAGACTTTCCCATTGATCAGATCAGATTTTGCTGTTTGCATGCATGGGGCATATTTCAGTATGTTCCTTTATGCTCTGTGTTTTCTGCAAATTGGCAGTCCAGTGCTTATTCAAACTAAGGTTTGATTCCTCTGGCAAGACTATAAGTGATAGTATAGTCTTCCATGATTTAGTGTATTCTTCCATAATTTCTGATGTTCATTTTTTTATGTTAGCAACCATTGATGCTCAGTAATGACATCAGTTAATTTATTGGGGTTTGTAAATTTAATCACTATAATTCTGTTATTTTGTTTTGATTAACTTAATTAATTCTATAAAGGTATGTTTCCCTCCCACCTATTGTTTAGTTGCACAAATGGTAAAGTACATATAGGAAAGGCAAAATAACTCCTTGTTTCTTTCCTCTTCTTTAGTCAGTTTTTAAGATGAGTTGGTTTGCTTTTATCCTCAGGTGACCATTTTTTTTTTTTTTTTTTTAATATGTCTTGATGGAGCTGGGACTATAGCTCAGTGGTAGAGTGCTTGCCCAGCACATGTGAGGCATTGGGTTTGATCCTTAGCAGCACCACAAAAATGAACAAATAAAGGCATGCTGCTCATCTACAACTACAAAAATTAAAAAAGAAATACATTATGGGGGCTGGGGGTGGCTCAGTGGTAGCACGCTAGCCTGGCACGCATGAGGCACTGGGTTCTATGCTCAGCACCGCATACTAATAAATAAAATAAAGGTCTATCAACAATTTTAAAATATTAAAAAGAATACATTATGATAAACTTACAGATTTAAACATTTGGTAAATTTCTATTCATTGTAAGTCTTACTTTAATACAAATTAAATTGCTTTTCTTTGACTAGTTGGTGCCAGTGTTCTTTTGTCATGACCCTGGTAATTTTTGATAGCTTTTGGTATGTGAAGATGTTCCTGACATATCTTGTACTTTTTGTTTCCCAGACCTGCTATTAGCTACTCAATGAAAATTTTAGTTCTAAATATATAAGTGAATATTCTAGATTTTTGCTTAGTCTTTTTCCTCTCCGCAAGGTAAACCCTGTTATCATTTGGCTAATTTTCCAAACTTTTTCCTCTGAATTTTTATCTATATATAGAAGAGTATTTTTTGAAGTTTTTTTTCATTTTTCTAATTCATAAGTAATATGCATCATACTCAGGAACTTCTTTAATTCTTTGATTTGGCTTGATAATTATTCTTAGTAAATGGAATCTACTTCATTCTTTGTAAACTGCTACATTCTATTTGGTGTAATTGTATCTCATTTTATTACACTCTTCTAGTATAGATTGTTTCCCATTTTTTCACTAGTACAGCTTTTGTTTCTATTGTGCACATATGCGGGGAACGTTGGAGTTCATAGATATGTGCATTTAAGATTTTGCCAACTTGCCCTCTAAAAGTACGTGTTCTTCCAAAAAGCAGGATAGGAGGATACCTGTTTATCACTCTCCCATACTTGATAATTATATCAAATTTAACCAGTCCAAGGATGGAAACTTTCCATGATTCCCAATTTCTTTCTGAGGTGGGAGTGGGGAAGCATGGCAGGTGATTTCAAGTAGATGCTGCAGCAGTCTTCAAGCTAGAGAGACTTCCCATTCCTCTTGGAGCACTACCCTTCCTGACCCAGCTTGGGTACAGACAGCAATGCTCTTGATGCCTGGCTGCAGAGACCACCAAATTTTCCTGATAACCTAGCTATTTTCTTACCCTTTTGTGCTACCTACAGCTTTCAATATATGCCTCTTCTTTCTACCTCCCTAATCCCCCGTACCCCTGCAAGTCTAAGGGCTAATGGTAAAAGTGTCTTTCCTGGGCTGGGGGTATAACTCAGTGGTATAGCACTTGTGTAGCAATTATGAAACCCTGGGTTTAATCCCCAGTATTACCCTACCCCCCTTCAAAATAAAATTCTTTCCTGTGATTTCTCAGGTTTATAGTGGGAACAGTAGGCAGCATTTAGTTTGCTGAAACCCCGTTCTAATTTTAAACATAGGGTAATGAATGTTACACTAAGATTAATAGAATGGCACTTTAACGTCTGTTTCACAGCTGGCAGGATGCCTTGAATCATCTTGGTTTTGCTTTAGATTTCACTATTTTCACATTCAGCCTCTTCAGTATGCACATTCAGAGAGGCAGAAGGGAGAGTCAGGCAAGTCCTTCTTTGACAGCAGTTCTCCATTCTTTGATGTGCAAGGGCCAGCACAGTCACTTAAACTTGATTCCACTCCTTTGAATCTCACAAAGCTAAACAGTTAAAAGAAATAAAATAATGCTTGTGAAATGTGCAGTGCATATTGGCAGCACATGCCGTATTACATTTCCCCAGCTTGTTTCTTCTGTTCGATCAGTCCTTTGAAGGCACTGGAGTTTTCTCTTAAATCTTTTTCTTCTTCAGTTTAACCTTACTGAATTTCTTACTCTCAGCTTTATTGGGTTTGTCCAACATGGTTGTGGAGGAATTAGAACAAGGTTCATGAGCCTGTAGAGTTCAGAATGTGGCCATTGCTCAGTGTCTCCTCCTAACCTAACTTTTAATGTTAAATTCTTACTTAGTTGGTTTTAAAAGCCTTGATTTTTGAAGTATCTCAATGTATTGCCCAGATTAGCCTCTTGAATAAGTGGGACTGAAAATACATACTCCCACTCCTAGCTAAAGCCTTCATTTTAAAACCACAGCCTGTTTTTTTTTTTCTTTAAATTTCTTAGTTTTTTCCTCTTCTAAAATGTCAAAACACTTCCATTTTGATCAGTGTTCAATATATCAGCTAGTGGTTATTTTACTCATATATTAAAGTATGTGCTTTCTTAATCTTTTCCATACCCAGATAAAGTGGGTACTTCTATTGTCCTCACTTTATACCAGTATCCTCACTTTATACTCTGGAGTACTGAAAGATTCAGTGACTGCCTAAGGTTACATTAGCATATCCAGAACTCAAGTAGTCTGACTCCAGAAACCCGGTATTAGTTGCTATGCTAAACTACTGCTGTAAGACCACATTATTCTAGCTGAGTGGTTCCATTATTCTGGTAATTTCATTATGATTATTGTAGGTGCCTTTCACTTGGTTCTATTAAAATCAAATAATAAGCCATATTTCTAAAAATTGTTTATATTCTTTTCTCTAGTCTCATCTCCTAGAAACACTGTCCTTAGATGAGGCCAGATTCAGATGACCAATTCAGTCAATGCTTTTACAAATTACTAATAGCATTATTTACAGTTTACTCTCATTATGTTAGCCTGCTGGTCATGATGGTGTACACTTATAATCCCAGCTATTCAGGAGGACAAGGAAGGAGGATCACAAATTTGAGACCAGCCTGGGCAATTTAGTGAGACCCTGTCTTAAATTAAAAAAAAAAAAAAGGCTGTGGAATATAGCACACTGGTAGAGTGGCAAGGCAAGCCTCAATACCACAGAAAGGTGGGTGGGTAGGTAGAAGTGAGGGGGAAAAAGAAAAGGTCATATTTGTAATTACCTTGTGGAAGTTTTCCTGGGTTTGATATTACAGGGTTTGGATCTTGTAAAAACAGCACAAAGGCAACCCTTTAAACATTGATTCTTGTGATTAAGTCAGAAAGATTGCAGGCCTGTAGCTCAGAGTAGCAGATTTGAGTTTATTAGAAAGGATAGCAAAGGGGAAGAGTGGGTCCTCTCAGAGAGGGACAGTATGCCTCTTCTGCCCTCCAGTTTTATTGGGAGTCCCAGGAAAGTTTCTAGAGAGTCCTGCCCAGGTCCACCTCTTGACTTTTGGTTGACAGCAAGGTGATGTCAGACTTTCAAGTCACCACTGCCATGACAACTCTAGGTCACTTCAGCTCATGCTGACCAGTTGTAATTGGAACCTGTTCTTAGAAATTTTATGATGGGGGAATTATCCTTGTCTTCTGAGTTCTAGAATCTGGTCTGTGAAAGGGTCATAATAATCCCCATTTGGGGTAACTTGTATTCCTCTCATTGGAATTATTTTCGGCCTGCATTTCTGCTGCAGATAACATTTTACTGAGGAATGTAAAATATCCTATCCACTTAATTCAGGCAGGGCTACAGATAAATTGCTTTTCAAAGGTGAAAGCCTGTGGGGGTTAGCATAGTGGGCCCATTTTATAAAGTATTCCCTTAACCTCATGTTTGTGTTCCACTCACATCTGTCCACCCTGTCATTGAAAAGGGACAATAACAGGATTGAAGCTGAAAAATTTTTAGATAACCCAATTTATCAAATATTCACATATTCAAGTATTACTCATTATTGGCTGATCTCATTTGTCCTAAGCAAAAGAGTCAAAGGCAAAAAAATGATGTGTTCCAAATAGATAACATGGGTCAGATCATTATTTCACCGGATTGAATGTGGGCTCAAAAAAGACCTAATGGATGATGAGTAGAGGAAATGAGCTCACATGAATTCATTGTTAGTAATATCAAGATGTAGGCTTTGAATCTAAGATTCTGACTGACAGAATTACTAAGTTCATATTAATTCATGTGCAAAAGACTTTTTCCTAGGATTTCTAGATAATTAAGGGAAGAATCAAAGTGGATTAGAGGAATGCAGAAGCAAGGAAGGACACTAATATGTAAAGGTTATTTTCTCAGTGCTTTTTTTAATATTTATTTTTCAGTTGCAGGTGGACTCAGTACCTTTATTTTATTTTTCTATGGTGCCGAGGATCGAAACTAGTATCTCACGCATGCTAGGCAAGCGCTCTACCTCTGAACCACAACCCCAGCCCTCAGTGCTGTTTTTTTTTTTTTTTTGGTAGTTGTTGATGGACCTTTATTTTATTTATTTATATGCAGTGCTGAGAATCAAACACAGTGCCTCACACATGCTAGGCAAGCATTCTACCACTGAGCCACAACCCCAACCTTCATTGCTTTTTTAAAAAAATTCTAAAACATTTTTATATCTTCTATAAGGAATAAAAAAGCTTTTAGTGGGGAATGATAATATATTTTCCTGTTGCTTTATTTGTAAGGTAATTATTAATTTAAAAGAAAAACTTATTTTCAAATAGGTTGAAAGATTTTCTGTAGTAGAATAAACTTTTCACTGCATAATGATTTGTTAATACGTGCTGGAGACAGAAACTTCCTGCTTAGGACCAGACTGTTTTACTGTGACTTCAAGCAAACTTTATTTTTTTCCACTTCATTTTCCTTTTTTTTTTGGCTGAGATGGAGATCAAATTCAGTACCTTGTACATGCTAGGCAAGCACTCTACGATTAAACTACACCTCCAGTACCCTATTTTCCTATTCTGTAATTAGAAAACTAATATTCACCTGCATTTGTAATGTGATTAAGACTTGCATTGCAGTAGTGCCAGAAGCTAAATAGGAACTTATAAAATGTCATATTGATGTTTTGAGATGATCTTATATCTCTTTGTAGCTATAAAGGGATATAGGAATCTCAACAAATCTAATTGAATTTCAGAACTGGAGTTACCTTTGTTCTAGAAAGCAGCTCAGCAGTGCTAGCAGTTCACTTAGAGCAATGAACAATAGCTGCTAGTCATTTTAGTAAGTGATACATTATGGAGTGTACCTTTGGGGAATAAGTACTCTCAAATTACTGTAGTCACACTTGTAATGGTTCAAAGACTGACATTCTCAGATCAAACCTTCTAATTAGAGGTGGCCAGTAACATTGAAGTAATTTTTTTCAATTGATGTGTAAAAACAAAAATAGCAAATGTTAATGGGGTGCCACGTACAGTTTTTATACATGTATACATTGTGTAATTTTTAAATCTGGCTAAACTACCTCACCAAACAGTTATCCTTTCTCTGTGGTGATAACATTAAATTTTTTTTCTTCTAGATTTTTGAGACATACAGTATATTATCATTATCTATAGTAACCCTACTGTTCAATAGCACAACAGAATTTCTTACACCTGTTGACCTATAACTTAGAATTCATTGATAAACCTTCCCCATCTCACCTCATCCCCCACCTTTTGATATCACCACTCTACTTTCAACTTATATGAGATCAAATTTTTTTTAGATTCCACATGAGTCAGGTTATAATGATACTTAACTTTCTGTGCCTGGTTAGTTTCACAACATAATGATTACCATTTCCATCCATGTTGCCATAAATGACAGAATTTCATCCTTTTATTGCTGAATAGTATTCCTTTTTATCCATGTACCAAGTTTTGTTTATTCATTCATCATTTGATAGACACTTAGTTGCTTCCATTTCTTAGCTACAATGTACATAGGAGTTCAGATGTTTCATCAACATACTGATTTCATTTCTTTTGGGTATGTACCCAGTAGTTTGTACATACTAAACATGTTCCCATTAGTAGATCCATTACTGGATCATGTAGTCGTTATATTTTTAATTTTTTGAAAAGATTTCCATACTGTTTTCCAAAAAGGCTGTACTAATTTACATTCTCACCAACAGTGTGCAAGGGTTCTCTTTTCTCCTGAGCAATAGTAACAAAAAACAGCATGGTACTGGCACCAAAACAGACTGGTAGACCAATGGTACAGAATAGAGGACACAGAGACTAACCCACAAAATTACAATTATCTTAATATTAGACAAAGGTACCAAAAACATTCATTGGAGAAAAGATAGCCTCTTCAACAAATGATGCTGGGAAAACATGAAAATCCATATGCAACAAAATGAAATTAAACCCCTATCTCTCACCATGCACAAAACTCAAAGTGGATCAATAGGACTTAGGAATTAAACCAGAGACTCTCTGACTAATAGAAAAAGTAGACCCTAATCTTCATCATGTGGGATTAGGCCCCAACTTCCTTAATAAGACTCCTGTAGGGCAAGAATTAAAACCAAGAATCAATAAATGGCCCATTCCTATCTTGAAGCATTTCTTTTTCTATTAGTTCTGGTAGTTTCATAGTCTTCTATTTCTTTGTAACTGATGAAAGAGAAGTGTCTATTTCATTTTTTTCATGTAGATGTTCAATTTTCCTAGCACCATTGATGGTAAAGACTGTCTTTTCAACAATGCATGTGTTTAGCATATTTGTTGAAAATCAATTTGTTATAGATATGTGGATTTATTTCTAGGCTGTCAATTTTGTTCCATTGATCAACATGTATTTTTGTGCCAGTACCTTGTAGTCTTGATTACTATAGCTCTGTAGTTTGTTTTGAAATTAGGCAATGTAATGTCTCCTGCTTTATTCTTTTTGTTCAAGATGCCTTTGGCTATTTGGGGTTTTCTATATTTCCATATACACTTTGTTTGGGGAGGAGGGCATTTGGGATTTAACCCAGAGGTGCTTTACTGCTGAGCTATATCCCCAGCCTTTTTTTATCTTTTACTTTGAGACGAGGCCTTACTAAGTTACTGAGATTGGCCTGGAACTTTGAATCCTCCTGCCTCAGCCTCCCAAGTTGCTGGGATTACAGGCTTCATATACATTTTAGGATTTTTTTTTTCCTGGTTTCTGAAGAATGTCTTTGGTATTTTGAAAGGAATTGCATTGAATCTGTAAAACACTCTGGATAGTATAGACATTTTAACAATATAAGTTCCTCTAGTCCAGAAATATAGGATGTCTTTCTACTTTTTTTGTGTCTTTAGTTTCTTTCATCAGTGTTCTATAATTTTCATGTTCTATAATATTTCACCTTTTTGGCTAAAGTTATTTATTTATTTGTGGGGGGGGGTAACAATTATAAGACAGGATTGCTTTCCTGATTTCTATTTAAAATAATTTCTATTGGCATATAATAGTGCTGCTGACTTTTGTGTGTTGATTTTGCATCCTACAATTTTGTTGAATTTATTTATTTTTATAGTTTTTTGAGTTTTCTGTATAAAAGATCATGTCATCTACAAATAGTGGCAGTTCAGCTTCTTTTCTAATTTGAATGGCCTTTATTTCTTTTTCTTGCCCGATTACTCTGGCTAGGTCTTCTAGTGTTATGATTGAATAAAAGTGGTGAAAGTGGCCATTCTTGTTTTGTTTATGATCTTAGAAAGCATTCAGCTTTTCCTTCATTCAGTATAATGTTAGTTGTTCTTTTATTGTAAATGGCCTTTATTACATTGAAATACTGAAATACAAGCCATTAGAATTAAACCTCCAGTATTGATGAATTTGTGTATACTTTATTAAAATTAAATTATTGCCATGTTTAATTTTATTAACAAAACTTTATTTAAATAACTTTGTATGTAATAACTATGATATACTAAGTTTAGCTATGATATGAAAAACTTTGTTTTTAAGCTTTATATGTCCTTTGACTTTTAAGTGCTTTATAATTTGATTAGGCCAATGAAATAAACAGTCATATTTTGGCATGTTTCCATAGATATTTGTATTCTCAAGAATATTTTGTGTTATACCCTATTTTAGTGATCGTGGTGGAGAAGACCCAAACCAGAAAGTAATCCATGGGGTTATTAACTCCTTTGTTCATGTTGAACAGTATAAGAAAAAATTTCCCTTAAAGGTAAAAAACTTCCTTTAAAAATATAATCAGGTCTTTAATTTCTTAAATTATTTGTTCCAGTTTTTTCCTAATATCATTTTAATTTTATTCAGTTTTATCAGGAAATCTTTGAGTCTCCCTTTCTGACTGAAACAGGAGAGTATTACAAACAAGAAGCTTCAAATTTATTACAAGAATCAAATTGCTCACAGTATATGGAAAAGGTAAGAAATAACACACACCATGTTACATACCTTCACTTATTATATATCTGGCATGGTTTTATTTAACATAATTTTTTTAGTTAAAATATTCTTTGGTGAAAAACGATTCTGTTTATTTGATCATTAACTCTTAATTTACAATAACATACATCTATTGGTAAGCCATTGCTCTTGCTATAGCTGTTCTACTTTTCATCGTGCTTAATAAATCCTGATTGCTTTTGATAAATCCTGATTGCTTATCATTAAGCAAAATTTTGCTTATCCGTTAAATTAATACATACATCCATTTGGGGGATATAATAGGTTTTTGTGCTTAAGTGATTTGTTTAGGAAATAGGATAAGTACAGAGATTAGGTGTTTGGATTCTTACTATTACTTTTAAATGGAAGGAAAATAAGATAACTCTAGATAGTTGTAAAAGTCACTCTTTTAGTCTGTTAAGTTCTTGGAAGGCTGATTATGAGCAGAAAACTTACAGAAAAATTTTAATTAATCAATAAAACAGGGGCTGAGGTTGTGGCTCAGTGTTAAGAGTGCTCACCTAGCATGTGCAAGACACTGAGTTCGATCCTCAGCACCACATAAAAATAAATAAATAAAATAAAGGTATAACAAAATCAATAAAACAGCACATTATCATGTTTAAAATTTCACACTTATTTTTGAGTAGTAAAAGTCACATCATAAATTTAATCATCATAGAAGATACGTTGAAATTTTCAATCAAGGTTTTTATCTGAAGTGTTGAATTCAAATATTTTATTATTGGATGCCTTTTGTTAGTTGGTTTAACTAAGAAGATAAAATATCTTCCACTACAATGGACTACCTGTAGTCTAGTCTCCATAGAACACAGGTCAAGAATCATCAGTTCTTATGATATAATGTTACACAGTCCACAAAGCCCAAAACTAGAAGTCTGAGTTAATTAATTCTCTTACTACTTTTATCACTAAATAATGCTGGATCTTGAGTGAACAATCTAAGACCCCCCCCCCCCCCAATCCATTAAGTACAGATTAGTCTAGGTAAGTGGTTCTTAGCTCTTGGCTTTTATTGCATCTTAAACTTTTGTTTAAGTCTCTAGATGTAATTCAAAGAAATTGTACAAACAGTAACCATGATGCATACAAACCTTGTTATATCTGACTTTCAAGGAGAGGCCATGTCAAATGGTGGAAATACTTCAGATGTCTATCAAGAGTTGAAAGAAGCAGTTGCTAGGGGTATAGCTCGGTTGATAGAGGACTTGCCTAGTACCTGAGAAGCCATGGGTCAATGCTCAGCATCACAAAACAAAATAAAACAAAACAAATAGCATATGTGGTATATACATACGATGGAATATTATTTGGTCTTAAAAAGGAATAAAGTACTGATACAATATGGATGAACTTTGAAAATGTTAAGTAAGCCAGACACAAAAAAATAAATATTGTATAGTTTCACTTATATGAAGAATTAGGCACATTCATAGAGAAAGAATGCAGATTAGACATTATGTGTGGAAGATGGTGTGGGATCTTATTGCTTAATGGTGATAGAATTTCTATTTGGATTAAGGAAAAACTTTTTTAAAAATAGGATGGCTATGTAACATCAGTAATGTAATTAATGCCACATGAATTGGATGTTCATGAAAATGATTAAAGTAGCAAATATGAAAATATATTTTAATGTGATTTTAAAACATTGTGTATTAATATTATATTAATATACCAATTATGTATTTTAAATTGTGAAATTATATTTGAAAGTGCTAAAAATTTGTAGGGAATTGAAAATAAATTATGTTCAGAAAATGGTGTTAAGTAGTTTATTATAGGAAATGGTGGTAAACCATATTTACCTCAAGGGCCAAAGTCCTAGATTTTGATCACAATATATTATGTTAATTAAAGACTCTTTATGATAGCCTTGCCCTTTTTTTCTGCCCTAGTTTTGGCTTTTCCCCATCTACCAATGGTATTGTAGCTATTTGAAGACCTGTATTGAGGCAATCCAACCTAATCTATGTTTACTTTGATATGTACCTCCTTTCCCCAGGTCACCATTGTTTTACTTTTCCCTTTCTTTTATCCTCCTGCAACCACACTCTAATTCCTGTTGCATTTAGTAATCTAATAAGCTGTTTAAAGTCATATAATATGCTATAAATCACTATTAGGTTTAATTTTTAAGGAACATTTTTTTATTACATTTTGATCAAAAGCTTGTTGACCAAAATGACTTTCTCAATTGATGAAATTATGTGATGAATACCTTTTTAATCTTGCCTACCCTAAATTTCTGACTGCCCTGAACTTTGACTTAATGAGTTAGCATAGTAGAAGAGAGAGGAATATGGGACTCTCCACAGTTTTGAGCCTCATTTTCCTTGAAAGATATCTAATGAGGTATTATCCAGGAATGATTTTCCTTCCCAGCATCACCAGACATCCCTTACTTCCAAACAGTCAAATGTACGTAATTCCTTGGGACCAGTTAGGTTCAGAGACTTTGGTTACATAGCTTCACATCACAGAATGTCTTCTGAGTCTACATATTTGTATGTATATGTGCCACATAATTTCCATCACAACAGTATTGGTTGTTTTGTGTTAAAAATTAGTCAAATTCTTTGGTTCTTATTATTGTTGACCAGAGTATTGTTTTGTACCTCGATGCTCTTTTTTTCTTTCATTGTTTCTGTGAGACTGGGGGAATGGGGAATGGGAAATGGGGAATGGGGATCGAACCCAGGAGCATTTAACCACTGAGCCACACTCCCAGTGCTCCCCTGCCACCTGCTTTTTTTTTTTTTTTTGAGACAGGATCTCACTGAGTTGCTGAGGCTGGCTTTGAATTGTGATCCTCCTGCCTCAGCCTTCATGCATCAATGCATCACCAAACTTGGCTTAATGCTTTTATATACGATATAAGCTTTTGTAAAAGGGTTTTTTTTTTGTGTGTGTGTGTGTGTGTGTGTTTGTGTGCTGGGAATTGAACCTGGGGCTTTTTGCATACTAGGCAAGCATGATACACTGAGCAGTATCTCCAATCCCAAAAAGTCTTAGTTGACTTTGACTCTGATTAAGTATATTTTGACTTTTAAAAATTTTAATGAAATCTTCATACTGTGTTTTTTTTCCATTTTGTAAGAGCACAGACCAAAGTAAAATAATTAATGTAATCTACTTGATGTAAATAAGTTTTTAGTTTGGTAGTTAAATATTCAATAGAAACCACATGTTCAGGTATTTATTGTTAACAGCTTTTCCTGTTGCATGCTAAGTTTTCCATATAATATGAAGATTAGGGTTAATAAATAAAGACAACAAGCAGACTTTATTTATTCTTGTTTATAAGATTGTGATGGAATATAGGTGAACACTGGTAGCTTAAATAAGACTTTGAAATGATTTATGGATTGTGAGTTTAAATTAGTCATGTAAACCTTATTATCTTTTCTGTGTTTAGTAGAGCCATTAAAATATTAGCTGCCTGAGTTACTATTCACTTATAGTCTTTTCTGCACAGGAAAACTTTGTAGCTTATTATTTTAAGAATATATTTTTATAGGTTCTAGGTAGATTAAAAGATGAAGAAATTCGATGTCGAAAATATTTACATCCTAGTTCATATACTAAAGTGATTCATGAATGTCAGCAACGAATGGTAGCAGACCACTTACAGTTCTTACATGCAGAATGTCATAATATTATTCGACAAGAGAAAAAAAATGGTAAGTGCTAACACATATAACTGTGAGTAGAAATTAAAGTATAAACACAGGTTGTATATCATCTTCCACCCACTGTAAATTTAAAAGCATATTTTTTGATATCTTTAAAATATTTTATATACATTTTTTATAGATTATTACTGTATTTTGAAAGACTTTTGGAAAGTTTATATTCAAAGTGTATTCTAAAGTCAAAAAAGAAAAACTGGAAAAATGTGTTTATGTAGTTTAATTTTTGGAAAGTTTATATTCAAAGTATATTCTAAAGTCAAAAGAAAAACTGGAAAAATGTGTTTATGTAGTTTATATTATCACGGAAGCTACTTTCTTTAATATGTTAGTTCCTAACAGACAGTGGGAATAAAGGCAAAGGAAATATGGATTGATTTAAAATATATGAAGATGTGCATACTCAACTCAAAATAGGGGAAATACAAAATAAAAATACACTGTGATACCACCAAATAAATTGTAATTATCACCAAAAAAAAATTAAATGATTTAGAAGAAGTGAAAATAGTACTAAGAATTATTGAATAAGCCAAGCCTGGCAGTACATGCCTATAATCCTTATGGCTCAGGAGGCTGAGGTAGGAGGCACTCAGGTTCAAAGCCAACCTCAACAATTTCGTGAGGCTGTAAGCAACCTAGTGAGACCCTGTATCAAAATAAATACATGAAATAAAAGGACTGGGGATGTGGCTCAGTGGTTGAACACTCTTGGGTTTAATCCCTGGTACCACAAAAATAAAATTATTAAATAGCAGTGAATATACATAAGACATGTATGCCACACCTATGTAGAAAACTAAACATTGATGAAAGCAACATTGATTTATAAACCCAGGGCAATCTAATATAATCTGCCCCACACACCGCCTTGCCACTTTTTGTTAAATTCTCAAAGTTGTCCTCTTGGCCTAAGAACAGCCAACATGATCTTAAAAGAGCATGTTAGAAAGACTTTTAGAGGATAGCAAGACATATAAAAACAAAGTTATGCAATGAGGCATATGGATAGGCAGATAGTCCATTGAAGTGAAACAGCCTATACATTATGTAAACACTTGATAAAGTCCCTCAGTTCAGAGGGAAAGTGCCCCTGGGTTAAATCCTCAGTACCGGAAAAAAAAAAAAAAAAAAAAAAAAGTGGAGGGAGAAAGAGGTACTACAAGGTAGTACCACAGAGCAGTGAATGAAAAGTAGTCTTTTTCTATACATAATGCTGAGAAAAAGAAATTTGATCTCTATCTCAGATCCCTTATACAAAATCAATTCACAGGTGTTTTGTAACTACATGTGAAAGGTAAAACAATAATACTTCTTGAAGATAATATAGGCGAGTTATCTTTATAACCTTGTGGTAACGAATAAAATTTCAAATGGAACACAAAAAGCAGTAACAATCAAAGAAAGAAGGATCCAGTAGACTACATTAAAATGAAAAACTTTGGAACATTACAAGTTCTTTAAGACAACTGGAGCATCAAAAGACAGTCATAGGTTAATATATTTGTAGTGAATGGAAAAGATTTATATCCAGAATATAAAATAGTCAAGAAACTTCAATAAGCACTGCAGAATAGAAGCTATGCAAATGGCCTTACATGTACACTTAAAAAGTTATTTCAGTCTCATTAAATTAGGGGAATGCAAATTAAAACCGCAGTAAGATATCAATATTTCCTTATATATATTTTGGGGGTCAAGGTGGGGTACGGGGGTACCGGGGATTGAACTCAGGGATACTTGACCACTGAGCCAAATCCCCAACCCTATTTTGTATTTTATTTAGAGACAGGGTCTCACTGAATTGCTTAGTGCCTCGCCTTGCTATTGCTGAGGCTGGCTTTGAACTTGTGATTCTCCTGTTTCAGCCTCCCGAGCCACTAGGAATATAGGCATGCGCCACCACACCCAGCTTCCTTATATTTTGATATACCATTTTAAAGACTGAAAAGAAGATGTATTTGGAAGTGTGTAGAGTACCAGGATTTTGTTGTATGCTGGGATGAGAGAATAAATTGATACAAACACTTTGAAAAACTGACAATGACCACTAAAGCACAATCTGTGCATATTTTATTATCCAGCAGATCTTCTAGGCATATAACTCCCACCCCAGGCTTGTAGGTATGTACTAAAAGATATGTATAAGAATGTTCATAGCAACATTATTTGTGATATCTCTAAACTGGAAGCAACTCAAATGTCCAGTAACAGTAGAATGGATAAATACAATATATTTATACAATGGAGTATTACAGAGAAGTAGAAATGAACAGATTAAGTACAACCTATATGATCCTTATAAATATTATTTTGAAAAAGATACTAGTCATAAGAGAACTGCATGATTCCATTTTTATTGATAGCTCAAAGATTAATCTGTGATTGAGTAGTCACAGCCCTGGTTACCTTGGCAGAGGAACAAGAGTAGTGACGGGGAGGATGCATGAAGGGGACTTCTGGGTATTGGTTAAGTCTGTTTTCTCTTTTGGATACTGGGGATTGAACTCAGGGGCACTTGACCACTGAGCCATATCCCCAGCCCTATTTTTAAATTTTATTTAGAGACAGGTTCTCACTGAGTTGCTTAGCGCCTCGCCTTTACTAAGGCTGGCTTTGAATTTTCGATCCTCCTATCTCAGCCTCCTGAGCTGCTGGGGTTACAGGTGTGCACCACCATGCCTCAATTAAGTCTGTTTCTTAACCCTAAGTGTGATTATATGGGTGTGTTGTATGTTCACTTGTGATAATTCACTGAATTGTACTCATGATTGGTACACTTTTCTGTTTTTGTATATACTTAAACAAAAAGTTTAAAATAAAACTCACTGCACTAAGATATCATATTTCACCTCTCTTTATCAGAGATCAAAGTGTTTGATGACACTTTCTTGGCAAGGGACTTTCCTGTTATTGGGATCTCTATTTTGAAGGAACTGCAATCCCATTTTTCAGGATTTATGCTACAGATATTCTTGCCCATATACAAGATTATTAATTGCAACATTATATAATATCAACAGATTGGAAACAACCTTAGTTTCCATCAGGTTTTAAGTAAATATAATATGCCTATATGGTGAAGTACTCTGCAATTGTAAAATATCTAGAAATGCTTTATATACTAATATAAAATACCTCTAAGTTAAAATGTGTTTTGCAGCTACAGAAATACACTGCACTATTTATATAAAAAGGATCAGGGTGAAGAATATGTATATTTATATAAATATATAGAACATGCATATGTATTTTTTCTTGAATGTACATACATCTTTAGAAGGATAAACAACTGTAACATTGCTTTCTTGTGAGGAGGGAGACTGGGTGGCTGGGAGATAAGGCAAGAGGGATGTTTACCTACATACTCTTGTATTTCTGCATTTTGAGCTATGTATTACCTACAATTTAAAAATATCTGGGAATTTAATAATGAAATTTCTTTTCCCCCTCAGACATGGCAAATATGTATGTCTTACTCCGTGCTGTGTCTACTGGTTTACCTCATATGATTCAGGAGCTGCAAAATCATATCCATGATGAGGGCCTTAGAGCAACCAGTAACCTTACTCAGGAAAATGTGAGTTGTGTATAAGGAACTAGAAAGTTTTTTTTTTTTCCTTAATAATATTTACCAAGAGTTCTTCTTTTGACTGTTACAGAAGAAAGAAAAAGTCTTGTCAACAAATAAAAAATATCTTTATTCAAATATTTTAAACCTAGAATTTGTTGGACCCATTTTGGAATTATCAAGTTATTATAAAACCATTAAATGAGACTCCTTGTTAGCCATACTGATATGTTCATTTAGCAGTTAACTTCTCACAGAAAAATCTGTTTCCTATTTGTTTATGTTTACTTGTAATTGGCAAATTACAAATAAATTACAAATATGTTAGTGACCCTCACATCACTAATACCTTCTCAAGAGTACTCTACCAACCAAATAACAATATTTACAAATTGCATTTCTTTCATAAATGTTCCATCATGATGGACTACCTTTTTGTTATTACTAGTATTGCTTGATAACAAGATAAATATAACATGAAATGTCACTTCTACCTTAGTAGAACTGTATGCTTATCATCTTTAATATAGTTATCTGTGTATGGACATCGTTGCTTAGGAATACTTATTAGATTCTCATTATTGGTGTTGTAGATTTGTCTTTAGCAAGTAATAATTGTTAGTTTTTATGTTTTCCCATCGGAAATCATAAGTTTTCCAATTTTGTGGAATAGTTGGTTGTCTTATTTGTTACTCTTCTTGGTTTACATTATTAGGTTTATAGAGTCAGGGTATTGAATGACATTGGGCATAGAACAGTGGAGTCTTGTGTCAAGGCTGGAAGATGGAAATGTAACAGAATGCATTTGCATCGGATTCAAATCAGCTACCTTAGATACCAACTTCTCCAGTTATCTCCATTTGGAGGGAAACTCATTTTTGCACTAGTAGCTATTTTTTTCTTTCCTTCTGAGATGTAAGGATTGTACTGTCCAGTTCCAGGGGTATCTAGTCTTAGAGATGCTGGCTTTTTTCATTCTTTTCTCTGTTTCAGCTTTCAGTGACTTTGTGGGCATTCTTTGTTTATATAACCTTATGAAAGTGATAAATCTGGTATTTCAAAGACTTATTCTGTTACCCTTAAGATACTGTGTTCAACATAGGAGAGAAATATGCTTTTGGTGGTTTCATTTTGGGGATGTAATAAACAGTCGTGACGTTGAATGACAAAAGCTAATTTCACCAGCAAACTTTTTGCTTGGGTAAACTTTACTCTTTTGTTATTGTTGTGATTATTGTGTTAGGGATTAGAACCCAGGGCCTTGTGCATGCAAGGCAAGCACTCTACAAACTAAACTATATCCCCAGTCTGTAAACTTTACTCTTAAGTCTTTAACAAGACTAATTATATTCTTGATTTATTTTAAAAGGTGGTTTTATATTTTGTATTTTATATTTAAATTTAGATGCCAACACTATTTGTGGAGTCAGTTTTGGAAGTACATGGTAAATTTGTTCAACTTATCAACACTGTTTTGAATGGTGATCAACATTTTATGAGTGCATTGGACAAGGTAACTTTAACATATGTATTATATGTATATATACTAGATGCATATAAAATTTTGTATCATTTGTTAGGCAGTGTCAGGATTAGGCTTCTAAGTAGGAGATTTCTGATCTGGACATGGAGATTAACCTTAAGTAACTAACTTAAATCTGAAAGTCAAAATAGGAATAACATAAGTTTTAACTTATTAAATGAATTGTTAAACTGAATGCCTATGTAATTTCCTATTATTATGCTATGTAAGCAGAATTGTTTATAAACTAGTATCTTCTGAAAATGCATGTATAATTTTAATATTCTTTAGTACTGATTATTTCTTCACATATACCACATAGGCTATTTAAAATATTTGAATGGAAAATATATTTCAAAACTTGATTTTGTTATTCTATGTAGGAAATTTGTAAAGTTTTTAAAAAGTAGCATAATTTTATTTATGTTCAAATTTTAGTTTAAAGAATACTTTGTAATAGGAATGGAGCTCTATTGCTTTTGGACCTTTGGCAAGGCAGAACAATTTGGTGGAAGTGTGTGGTGGAGGAAACATGTTCACCTCAGGGCTAGGGAAGGAGGAGAGAGTTTCTCCATATCCCTTTCAAGGGCATGCCCAGGTGACCTACCTGCCTTTACTAGGCCCCACCTCCTAAAAGTTCTGCCACCATCTATGCACCAGTGTCAGACTGGCTACCAAGTCCTCAACACATGGCCTTTGGGAAACATTTAAGATTAAATCATAATAGGTGGGTTTTTTTTTTTTGGACAGCAATTATAGCATATATTGAACCACCTGAACTTTTGCCCTAGTGCTGGTGGCTAATTACACACCTGTTTTCTATTTAGGCCCTTACATCAGTTGTAAATTACAGAGAACCCAAGTCTGTCTGCAAAGCACCTGAATTGGTAAGTTTGATGGTTGCTTAAATGTAGTCTTATGAAAAGTCAGTATTTGAAAAGGAAAGCTGAGCACAATCTCAAATTAAATTTTTTTTGGTAGCATTTTTCAGAAAAAAAATAGATGAAAAATTATTTTCTACATACCGTTTCTTAAGGAATAACTGGAGGAAAACATTTCATTATACAAAGTGTGGATTTTAAAGTGTATCTTTTTTAGCTGGGTGCTATGGCACACTCCCATAATCCCAGAGGCTCAGGAGGCTGAGGCAAGAGTCTCGCAAGTTCAAAGCCACCCTCAGCAATTTAGCAAGACCCTAAGCACCTCAGTTAGAACCTGTCTCTAAATAAAATACAAAAAAGGGCTAGAGATTGGCTCAGTGGGTAAGTGCCCCTGAGTTCAATCCCTGGTACTCAAAAAACAAAACAAAACGAAGAGTGTATCTGCTTTGAAATAATATACATTTTTTTATGGAGATTTTGTTATATCTATAGTTAGTAGGAAATCTGGTAAGTTGTTGGTAACCTTTGAAGGAAACTTGCTTCCAAGGATAATCTAAGATTTTAAAAAAGTTATTGTTCTTTGTCAGAATTTACAGAACTATTCAAAACTCAACTACATGTTCTTTTAGAAATTTATATTATTTTTATCCCTGTTTTGTCAATGTTTATTTAATTTTTGAGTTTATTTTGTTTTTTGCTTCTAGTGTTTTTAAAATTTATCTTGCCACATATATTTTAAATTATGTAGTTCATGTTCATGATTTTTAAAACATTAGTCTAGAATGTCAAAGATTCCATCCATTAATTTTATTTTGTATTGTTGCCACTTTACCTTCTTTGAAGCATAATAAGTCTAGAAGGGCCCTTTATAAGCTATATTATCAATTTCTATTTGAGCTTGCGAAGTACTGTGACAACTTACTAAAGAAGTCAGCAAAAGGGATGACTGAGAATGAAGTAGAAGACAAACTTACGAGTTTCATTACTGTTTTCAAATATATTGATGATAAGGATGTTTTTCAAAAGGTAAGTTATAAATAGAAAAGTTTTGATTTGCATCAACAGCTTTATTTTTGAACTTAAAGTCATTAGAAAGGAAGTAAGTTTAAAATTTTTTCTTTAATGTAGTTCTACGCAAGAATGCTGGCAAAACGTTTAATTCATGGGTTATCTATGTCTATGGATTCTGAAGAAGCCATGATCAATAAGTTAAAGGTAGGACATACCAATGCCCTAGAATTTATTCCACCAGTACATAAAGATGTTTATTGCAGCATTGTATGTAGTAATAGGTAATAATTCATCAACAAGGATTAGATGGTTAAATGTATGCTGGTGTATTCATATAATGGGGAGATACAAATACTGCATTAAAAGGACAAAATGTCTCTGTATATATTGATACGGAAAGATCTCCAAGACAGTATCTTTAAAAGAATTCATAATACTTATAAATGAATTTCCTAAAATATTTCTTACAAGTATTAGAGTACAGTTGAACTTCAGTTAATTTTATATCATTTTAACTTATACACTGATAAAAATAAATTTTTCATCACTTCATAGCTGGTATTAAAAATATGTCTTAAATACCCTCCTTTTTTAATTGACTGTGACTGGTATTGCCAATAATCTTTCAAGTATATTTGATGCTATGTAAATCCCCAAAGATATCTTACTAATAGTAATAAAGCATTTTACAGTGTTGAAATAGCTATGTGGATTGGTATAATAGTTTCTATGTTTAAAGCTAATATTTTAAAATTATTTCATAATTATGTATTTTCTTTCACTTCTACATTGAAAAGGAAAGAAATTTTTGAAAAGTTTTAAATAGCTTCTTGGGGTTTTAAATAATGTAGGCCTTGGGTATAAGCACTATATGCAAGGATCTTTAAAGAACTAACATTAGCAATACATTCTTATCAATCATTGTGATTTATTATTTTTCTTTTTGAATCTTTTTTTCACAGCAAGCCTGTGGTTATGAGTTTACCAGCAAGCTACATCGGATGTATACAGATATGAGTGTCAGTGCCGATCTCAACAATAAGTTCAACAATTTTATCAAAAACCAAGACACAGTAATAGATTTGGGAATCAGTTTTCAAATATATGTTCTACAGGTATGAATATGTGTTTTCTTATTAGCATTTATGAATCATCTCAATATGCTGATATAAAGAATTAATAACTGAGTGCCTCGTTAACATTGATTTCAGTCAATGGATATTATGGCTTCCATAGTTATAATGATTTGGAATGAAATGTGCCATGATAATAATACTTCTGATTTTTATTGAAATTTTGAGGAAGAAAAAAGAACTTAATGCTTAAACATTTTATAAATATTTTCTTTCAAATTAGATGTTGATTTTATTTTTTGGGTTTTTTGCCTTTCTAGGCTGGTGCATGGCCTCTTACTCAGGCTCCTTCGTCTACATTTGCAATACCCCAGGAATTAGAAAAAAGTGTACAGATGGTAAGTTTGCAGGAAGACATTAACAAATCAAAGGAATTTTAGTTGTGCATGTTAAGCACATAGTATACATTGATCCATACCCTCAGCTCCAGTAATTGTTTTTGTATTATATCACTTTCAGTATTTTCCCTAAGTCTTAATGGCTATGTGCTAGAAAAATGTTTACAAATTAGAGTCTGTGTCCTTTAGAAAGAATAAATTATTATATTTACTAGAATCAAAACTAAAATGTTGAGGGTATAAAAGGAGTTCCTTGTCACGATTTATCTCTTATTCTTAGTAAATCTAGTATCTGTTCTTTTTTTTTTTTTTTAATCACTGAGTTATATGCTTAGCCCTTTTTCCCTTTTTTTGCGGGGGATACAGGGGATTGAACTCAGGGCACTCGACCACTGAGCCACATCTCTAGCCCTATTTTGTATTTTATTTAGAGACAGGGTCTCACTGAATTGCTTAGTACCTTGCTTTTGCTGAGGCTGGCTTTGAACTCAAGATCCTCCTGCCTCAGCCTCCCAAGCCATGTGTATTACAAGCATAAGCCACCATGCCTGGCTTAGTATCTGTTCTTAAGCAGTTTTAGACTTAGAACTTTTTTATATTGGAAGAAAGTTTAGAACCCAGCATTTAAAAAAAAAAAAAACACCTTAATTCCATTTGAATTTTGAACCATTTGTATACATTATTTATCCCTTGTAACATTTTTATTTCCGCCTTGTAATTTAGATAAATGTATGTGGAATGAGAAATAATCCTAGAACAAAAATGTTTTTGAAGCTAGAAATTTAAGTAAAAATTGCTTTAAACTTTGACTAAGTAGAAACCCTAGAATGCTGACCAAAAAGTTTCTAAAATAACCATGGAGAACATCTTTTTTTTTTTTTAAATAACAACTGTTTATATAATTCATATATACCATTCACTCATTAAAGAGTCAGTGATTTTTATCCAGAATGCTTATGAACTAAAATCTTTCAGATTTTTTCCCCCCACTAGATTTGAGAATATTTGAATAATGATATCTTGGGTATGAAACCAAGTCTAAACACAGTTCATTTATGACAATATTCACTTTATGTGTATGGCCTGAAGATACTTTTATAGACTATTTTTAGTACACCTGCATTTTGACTATGACCCACCATATGAAGTGTGAAATTTTCTGCTTGTGATATTATGTCATCCTCAAAAAGTTTCAGATTTTTGGATCATTTGAAATTTGAGATTTTCAGATTAAGAGTACTCAACCTGCAGTATATCCACAGAATTTGGCTACCATCATTTTAGAACATTTTCAATGCCTAAAAATTGCCCCTAAATAAATCTATTTATTAGTAGTTCCTGTCCATTTTTCCCTAACTTATCCCCTCCTTCCACTCCAGGCAGTTTACTTCCTGTCACTGGATTTGCCTATTTGAATATCTCATGTATGTGGGATTATATCAGATGTAGCCTTTTGTAAGGCAATAAGCAATTTAGTAAGACCCTGTCTCAAAATAAAGGAATGTAGCTGAGTGGTAAAGCACCCCTGGGTAAAATCCCCAGTACCAAAAAAAAAAAAAAGAAAAGAAAAGAAAGAAAGAAAAAGGCAAGTATTTTATTTTTGTCTTTTTTTTTTTTTTTTTAAATACAGTGTAGGCTCTAGAATTGTAATTCCTGATTTCAGATATATGTTATAAAAATAAATATGCTCTGACTTTGGGAAAGTAACTTTTTAATCTTTTGTTAAACTGATTATTACCTCAGAATATTGATAGGAGAATGAAATGAGATGATCTATTAAAGCACTTAGTGTGGTATGTAGTGCATACTCAGTGACAGCTGATAGTAGAAATAAGAGTTATAGCAGTTGTATTTGTAGCAGTGATGGTGATAGTAGAGGAGAGTAGTATTACTGGCTGTAGAGTTGAGGATACCACACACAGGTAGACTTTTAGTAGTCAAATTTGGGTCATTTTATAAGTAATAACATGAAGAAGAGCATCCATCTTTGGATGGTCAGAACATTATGTTAGGTTATTAAGTGTTTTGAAGTTGTAAACTAGGTCCCTGGGGTAGGTAGGTAAAGCATTTTAATCTATTTGTGACTAGGCAAGAGAAAGAACATTAACACTGTCTCTTTTGACAGTCTTAAAACTTACCTCTTTTGGGGGAGCTGGGATTGTGGCTCAGCAGTAGAGCACTCGCCTCACATGTGCAAGACCTTGGGTTCAATCCTCAGTAACACATAAAAATAAATAAGTGAAATAAAAGTATTGTGTCCAACTACAACTAAAAGATAAATATTTTAAAAAAACTTACCTCTTTTTTGGGTTGGGGATGTGGCTCAAGCTTGCCTGGTATGTGCGCGGCGCTGGGTTCGATCCTCAGCACCAGATACAAATAAAGATGTTGTATCCACCGAAAACTAAAAAATAAATATTAAAAAAAAATTCTTTCTCTCTCTCTCTGTTTCTCTCTCTCTTTAAAATCAAAAAAAGTCATTTGGAATGAATCAGTCTCTTTCTCCATCATTAAAACTTACCTCTTTTTGAAACCCTTCTTCTCCAGTTGAAGTTAAAGGAGAAAATGTGGGCCAGCAAAAATAGTTCTTTTTTAACTTTATGTCCTTTTTCCTTCTCTCTTTAATTATTTTCCAAGAAGGGTTTTTAACCCACCTTTTGAGCTTTATTAATATAAAACCATCGTTAGGTTTTAGTTTCTTCATAAATAAATAGGAAGTGATTTTTTTTCTGACTATGAAATTATGATTTCAAGACTACTTAGTTCCTCTAAGTACCAGTAGAGGGAGCTTATCCATATATTTTGGATTTTTTAAATTTATTTTTTGCAGTGCTGGAGATTGAACCCAGGGAATTGAGTGTGCTAGGCAAGTCTTCTACTACTAAGTTAAGCCTCCAGTCCTTATCCATATGTGTGTGTGTGTATGTATGTATATATATTTTTTCCCGTATGAATCCAAGTTTTTAACTACATAAAATTGAAATCATATGTGTACTTAAAAGTATACATTCGTTTTGACTAGAAATGATTCGTATTTTTTACATCTTAATCTTAAATATAGCCATTTACCAAAAATTACTTCTCTTTTACACATAATTAAAACTATGCAAATAAAACTGTAGTTGAAATTAATTTATTTTTCATTTGAAACCAGTAAATCCTAATTGCTATATTTCTTTTGGACCTAGTTCAGAAACCTAAATAATATTAAAGAAATATCTAGTATCTATTAATCAGCTGTCTTTTGGAGATGAATAAGTTTATTAAGTATCAAATGTCAACTTTTAAGATCTTTTTAGTTTTAATTAATAAATCCTGAAATGATATTTGAAAAATGCTGTCCTTTGGCTTGTTTACTTTTTAAAATTTTTTTCTTTTAGTTGTAGATGGACATAATATCTTTATTTTTATTTATTTATTTTTATGTGGTGCTGAGGATTGAACCCAGTGTCTCACATGTGCTAGGTGAACACTCTACTACTGAGCTACAACCCTAGCCCCTAGCTTATTTAGTTTATTTATTTATTTTGGTCCTGGGGATTAAACCCAAAGGTGTTTTACACTAAGCTACATCCCTAGCTCTTTTTATTTTTTGAGACAAGTTCTGACTAAGTTGCTTAGGGGCTGGCTCACTAAGTTGCTGAGCCTTTGAACTTTTGGTACTACTGCCTCAGCCTCCTGAGTTGCTGGGATTATAGGTGTGGGCCACCATGCCTGGCTTACTTGTTTATTTTAAAGTGAGAAGTTTAGTTATCATATATGTCTTACTAATAAATTTTGATAATACAATTACTTAACAATCTAATCTAAGCAAGGTCTTGCAACTTTTGTCTTTGTAGTACCAGGTCAAATAATAATTACATTTATAGCTTAGTCTTTTTTGTTCTTGACTAGTTATATGTGTGAGAGTCTTTAATCAGATTTTAATCTTAAGGATGAAGGAATATTTCCTTTTGGCATATATTATCAATATAACCTATTGAGTAGTACTAGTTGCTGGGAGTATAAAGAAGTAAAACATAGTTTCAGAGCTTGCAATATACATCTTGAAGCTAGTGCAGCACTTAAATGGTTTGTAAAGAACATTTCAAAGGTTGAGTTTCTCATTTCTAAAGATGTTTTGGTTTGCTTTTTGTCCATAAATTGTGTTTTATGGATAAATTGTGAGTCGTATATTATAATTGAGTTTTATTGTCACTCTGAGAGGTTATTAATTAGTCAAAACTATTTTCTTCTGAAATCCTCTTATGACATATTTTGATTAGCTGTCTGAATTAGAATCAGGATGACAAAATTCTTAAGTATCCCAGGTACCAGCCATTTCCTATTTATCATGTAAAAGGTTTGGTGGAGGAGGATGCTTTGCCACTGGAGAGAAAGCATGTTCAACAAATTTCAGCTTCCTAGAGCTAGGCAAACTTGGAATAAACTGCTGAAAGAATTTATTGATTCTTTTGGTTAGAGCTTTAAACTTTCATAGTAAGGATGGATCATAGTATAGCTAATAGACAAAGTGTTGCTGATTGCTTTTTTTAAATCTATTTTCAAAATATATTTGATATGTAACTAAAAGTTTTAGATGTTACATATGGCACTTAATGCTGACCATATATGTACAGTTCTCAACTTTGACTGGGCTACAGTTGTGTATTTTTTTATTATAAAGAAATCAACTTTTTATCTTTTCATATTTCAGTATTATTTTCCTACTATATATTATGTACTAGCTCTTTTTTGTTTTTCTTTTCTATTTTTGGCACTGGGGATTGGAACCCTGGGCCTCTTGCATACTAAGCACATGCCCTACCACTGAGCCATACTCCCATCCCCTGTAAAAGATATGAACTTTGTATTTTTGGACTCATGTCCAGTAATTACACATTCAATCCTGGAAAGAAGGTTTTAAGGTTTACCTACATTGGGGCTTTGGCTGTGGCTCAGTGGTAGCACACTTGCCTGGCATGTGTGAGGCACTGGGTTTAATTCTCAGCACCACATATAAATAAATAAAATAAAGGCCTATCAACAACCAAAAGAAATATTAAAAAAAAAAAAAAAGATTTACCTACATTGACAGAATATAAAATTTACTCATTCACAATAATTTCAACAAAATAATATCCAAAGAAGAGTTCCCTGAAACTTTCTTTGGATTACGGTTTACATATAGAAGTTAAATCATATATAATACGTCATAGCCACACATCTTAATTGGTCTGCCACATCAGTAAGGATATTTTTTGGCAAATCTGAAATAATAAAATTATGACATTTTTATGCTGAAATGTATGTGATGGTGCATTTGGTCAGTAATTAGAATTTATGAAGTCTAAGTTAATATTGTTTGAAAATAATGAATCATTGACTATGTCATTTCTGAATTTAAACCAGAAGTAAAATTTGCAAATGATGTGGTTTAATAGAAAAACCTGAACAAGGTTGTCAATTAAAAGAGTTTGGGTAGATTGGTATCATTTTACTGATAGTAATAACAATTTACTGTACAGCAGAAATGATTCAAGAAGAAAAATAACCCACAGTGTGGCAGTTTACCTTTGTGCAGGCAATTGGCTAAGTTATTCTGCTCCACCCACCCACTTTTTTTTTTTTTTTTTTTTTTTTTAAGGAAGGAGAGTTTTGCTATGTTGCCTAGAGTGGCCTCAAACCCCTGGGCTCAAGTAGTCCTTCTGCCTCATCTCTGGAGTAGCTGGGACTACAGACATGCATGATTGTACTTGGCTACTATGATTTTAATGTTGATGCTTTGATAAAGTACTTATGTATGTATAGGAATGTCACAGTGCAAGATGCTGCTACCCCAGGCACAAAGTGTTAACATAAAATTATTTTGCAAAGAACAGTGGTTTTATTAAACCTGTTGTAATGTTATACCTCAAAAACAAAACAAAACAAAAACTCTGTGATAACGTTTGTATGAGCACAGATATGTTTTGTCATCTGTAAAATGACAAGGTATATCATATGGGCTCTAATGTCTTCTAACATGAACTTTTAAAACTTTTTTAGTGTGGGATAACTAAGTAGGACAAGCTATAGTAGCTGAAAATAATTTGATTTTCTTTTCTTTACAGTTTGAATTATTTTATAGCCAGCATTTCAGTGGAAGGAAACTTACATGGTTACATTATCTCTGTACAGGTAAACTGCATTTAATTATAATTAGTTTAATGAAATTTATCTTATATAATTGTGTTAATTTAGAAAGAGATTTCCTGTAGCCGAATTATGGTTTTTTTAACCATTCCTTCTCCATCTGCCTTTCTAGTTACCATACAAGCAACTAATAATGAAGTTTCAGTATAGTATTTTTCCTTTTTAGTAGTGCTGGGAATAGAACCCAGGATCTTGAGCATCATAAACAAGTGCTCTACCACTGAGCTACAGTGCCTGCAGAAGTACAACACTTTTTAATAGTTTTTCTTAACTATGCTATTTATAATGTTGCTGCTTTTAAAGGACTTATTACATATCTATAGCCAACCACTTTTTGTAGGCATTGGAAAATTTATTTAGAAACATAGACTTGATGGGTCAGACAGATACTCCTAAGAAACCTATTTTCTTAGTATACCAGGATCCTTAGAAATTTCAGTAACTATTATAGCACCATAAGGAGATCTAGCTATTTACTCGTTATACTGTAATGGACTGCAGTAAAAAAATGTTTTTTTGAATAAGTCTCAATTTTCAATAGATTCCAGTTTAAGAAAACTTTATTCACTATTTAATAATTTCCTTTGCTTCTTTCTGGAACAGTAAGGGCCGGCTTATTTATGGTAGTATTAATATCTGTATGATTGAGCATTTTGTGCAGTTGTGCTAAGTTGCCTAAAGATTTAGCCAAAGCAAACATTCAAAATTTCTTTTTGACAAACTGTGCTTTGAAAAGTGCAATGACTTAACTTTCCCTCTATATGAAAACGGGGAATGTGTTAATCTCTTAAGATAGTGCAAGGAAATCTGATCATCTTCCATAATCTTCATTAGAAAACCTTTTCTCCTCTTGCCTAAGAGAGATTGCATCTAAGTTACCATGTAACTTACCATTTGTTTGACTAATTTATACCTTGGAATATGATGACTCATTATGTTAGTAACACATATAGCATTATCTATACAAGTTTATTGAACAAATTGAACATTCTAATTTTTTAGTACGCTGAAATAAAAAGCTGTTTCTTGATGTTTCTTCATAAGTGGTCATGTGATAGTTGACTATTTTACATATTTTGAATTTTTTTTATTCTCATTTAGTAAATATAATTAATTTTAAAGAAAAATTTTACTGTTTACTGTTATAGATTTTGTTTTCTAAGAAAACTAATATATTTTAATGTAACTGAATTTAGTTTGCTTTTATGTCCCCTGAATATTTGTCTTGTGGAATTGAATCTCTTCTGGTCATTCACATGCCTCACCAATTATCACTCTGTCTCTTAACATAGTTTTATTGAGGGATTCAAGTTTTGCTGTTCAGCAGAGTTGTATAGAGAAAGAAACAAGGAGTTTATGTATGTAGTTTTAGCCACTAAAATTTGGCCTGAAAATTGTTACCAATAACATTTAAATAGGGAAGAGAACAATTTTTTTTTTTTTTTTTTCTGTTTTTGAGCTCTGCTGACTTCACAGGAAGATACCAGGATTTTTTTGTTTTGTTTTGTTTTATACCAGGGATTGACCCCAGGGGTGCTTAAACACACTGAGCCACATCCATATCCTTTTGTATATTTTATTTAGAGACAGGGTCTTGCTAAGTTGCTTAAGATATTGCCAATTTGTTGAGGTTGACTTTGAACTCTGAATCCTCCTGCCTCAGCCTCTCAATCCCCTGGGATTACTTGGGCATGTGGCCTCAGCACCCTGCTTGATAACCAGATTTTGAAGTGCTTGTTTGTTCATGTGTTTTATCTTGTTTTAGTGTTTTGTACATATGCTTTCATTGAAACCAAAGTTTCTTCCAGGTCTGGGGATATAGCTCAGTGGTAATATGCTTGCCTAAGCATGCACAAAATCCTTGCACTGCAAAAAATAAACAAGAGGGCCTCGTGTTGTGGCTCAGTGGTAGAGTGCTTGTATAGCATGTGTGAGGCACTGGGTTCAATTCTTAGCACTGCATATAAATAAAATAAAAGTCCATTGACAACTAAAAAATGTTTAAAAAAGAAAAAAAGAGTTCTTAAAAAATATTTAAATACACAAGAGAACCCAAATAGCTTCTTCCTTTTGCAAAGAGAGAATAACTCTTAAGTCCATTTCTTGTTTTGAATCATTGGTACTGAAAACACCTATCACCTATCATTGAAACCACTAGAAAAAGTTGGGTTTTTTTTTTTCCTTCCCAGTTTTATTAAGATATAATTGACAAAAGTTTTATTTAATTGTAGTATACAATGTGATGTTCTAATGTATATGTTATTTGGTGAAGTCATTAAATTAAGCTAATGAAAATATTTGTCACCTTACATGTTTACATTTTTGTATGTGGTGAGAACATTTAAGATATAATAACAGTTTTCAAGTAGACCATACACCATTATTAACTGTAGATCCCATGGTATATAATAGATCTCTACAACTTCATTTTTTAAATTATTATTTTTATTATTAGAGCTTCATAGTTAATACATAATAGTTGGGTTCATCCCAAAAAATTCATACATGCATGAAAATTGATTTCAGTTCATGATCCCTCTTCTTTCCCTCCCATCCCATATCCTCCCATTCTCCATCCTCTACTCCTATGTAGACTTTTTTTCGTTTGTCTGTTAATTTTTGTATTTGATGGGTTCTTATCCTTCCCTTCCCCTTTCCTGTATTTTACTTTATTTATAATATATGAAAGAAAGCATTTGACCTTTGAATTTCTGAGTTTGGCTAATTTCACTTAGCATTATAGTTGCAAATGCCATAATTCCAAAGTCTTGATCAGAGTTACTAATTATCCCTGAGCAGGGTATGCAGCCTCTGGAGTAATTAATGTAAAATATAGCTTAACTTAAAATGAAAAGCTTTAAAGTCAAAGCTCATGCTGGTTTATTTTATAATTCATTACTGTATGTGTAGTCACTAAACCATGACTTTATGCTTTAGGAAGTTCTTTTGCATGTTATCTTTCCATATTTTTTACATGTTACAGAGCACATACATGTTTTGATACTCTTTGTTACAAGATTTTCCATGTGCTAATATGCTGCTGCCTCATTGTTCAAACCCATGGGTAAAGTTATGATATCTTAATTGTAATTTATATTACATATGCAAAACTAGTAATACCTCCATTCCCTGCAAACAAAGCAAAATGACTGCATTGTTAGCTGGAGTGGCTTTAAAATAATTTAAGAAGTCCTTGGTTCTCTGTTGCAGGGGGAAAATATCTGAAATAAACAATTATTACTCAGATAATTCTGAATGTTTCTTTAAATGATTAGTTTACTGTATCAATTTTTGTCTTGATTATAGGTGAAGTTAAAATGAACTATTTGGGCAAACCATATGTAGCCATGGTTACAACATACCAAATGGCAGTTCTTCTTGCCTTTAACAACAGTGAAACTGTCAGCTATAAAGAGCTTCAAGACAGCACTCAGATGAATGAAAAGGAACTGACAAAAACAATCAAATCATTACTTGATGTGAAAATGATTAACCATGATTCAGAAAAGGTATGTGGTAATGTTCCCCAAAACTTTAAAAACTGCAAAGATTCCATAAAAAAAAGTGTGAATATTGATACTGCTTAAAGTAAGACTATAATTGTCAGTGATCTTTGTTCTCTGAAAAGCACTTGAACCAGCTACATTCCTGCAAGCCCAATATAGTTGTGAACTTAGGAGTCAAGGGAATGCTATGTAAGCTGGTGCCTAGGTCTGTTTTCTGATTTATTTGTCCTGTACTATAATGTTCTGTACTGTAATGTTACTGAAAAATTGTAAAAGAATTGCCATCTACAGGATTCTAATTGAATCCTGTAGTCTACAGTTTTTAAACTGTAGATGGTTATAACTCCTTCTGGTTCTCCTTCCCCCCATGTGTTCAGTTAATTTAATTTCATGGTTTTGAATCGGAAATGACAGCCTATTGATATCTAGGTTATATATAGCCTTAACTAGTGTGATTCTGTCCCGGGTGCTCTCATGTATCTTAATGTCAGGACTCAGTTAATCACCATATTGTTTTTATATCCCTTATAATAATAACAAGAAAATCATATACTCTTAATTTTTTATGACTTTTCTAGTAACAAGTCTTCATTGTTGTTGCTATGGGTATCGTAGATGCTTAAATGGTTTAAAAAACAAATTCTGAAAAATGTAAAATTAAAATAGAATTGCTTTTTGCTTATTTAACAATTATTTTTCTCTTAATAAATTCAATAATAAATTGAGTTTAGTTCTTCATGCTTGATCATTATTAATTTCATGTTACTTGCAGTAAACTTATTTTTTATAAATATATCTTTAAATGTAGGAAGACATTGATGCAGAATCTTCATTTTCATTAAATATGAACTTCAGCAGTAAAAGAACAAAATTTAAAATTACTACATCAATGCAGAAAGATACACCACAGGTAAGTGATTTTTAATGGCATATTGTTTTTTAATGATAGAGCATTGTGGGTTTTTTTTTTTTTTTGATACCAGGCATTGGACCCAGGAGTATTTAACCACATCCCCAGCCCTTTTTTTGTTGTTGTTGTTTGCTTGTTTTGAGACAGGGTCTCACTGAGTTCCCTAGTACCTTGCTAAGTTGCTGAGGCTGGCTTTGAACTCTCAATCCTTCTGTCTTAGACTCCCAAATCACTGGGATTATAGGCTGGTGCCACCACACCCAGTTCTAAGCCTTGGATTTAACAAGTTCAGTTGACCCTGAGATCAAACAAAACTTTGTATCTCAAAATCAATAATATGATACATGGGCTGGGGATGTGGCTCAAGTGGTAGCGTGCTCGCCTGGCATGTGTGGGGTGCTGGGTTCAATCCTCAGCACCACATAAAATAAAGATGTTGTGTCCATCAAAAACTGAAAAATAAATATTAAAAAAATATATGATACATCTTTTCTGGTTTATTCTTTGTTCTTTGCATTTATGAACCTACAATCTAACAGAACTCTGTTGGCATTTTTCATTTTTAAAAAGTAGTAATGGTTATCTCGGGGCTGAGGCAGGAGGATTGTGAGCTCAAAGCTATTCTTGGTAATTTAGCGAGGTCCTGAGCAACTTAGCAAGACCCCTGTCTCTAATTAAAATATTAAAAGGGCTGGGAATGTGGTTCAGTGGTTAAGTATTGTCGGTTCAATCCCTGGTACCAAAACAAAACAAAAAAAAAGGTAGTACTATTGGGTTGCTCCAGGGAAAAGTTTTTGTTTAGTCATATATGCCTTAAGCCACATTAAAATGTATAGCTTGGACTGGGGTTGTGGCTCAGCAGCAAAGCACTCACCTAGCATATGCAGGCTGCTGGGTTCAATACTCAGCACCACATAAAAATAAAATGAAGGTATTGTGTCCAACTACAAGTAAAACAAAATATTTTTAAAAACATAAAATAAAATGTATAGCTTGTACTAGGGATGTAGCACAATAGTAGAGCACTTACCTAGCTTATGGGAGTTCCTGGGTTCCATCCCCAGCACCACCTCCATCCCCCCCAAAAGTGTAGTTTTACTTTGCATTCTTCAAAAAAAACCAAAATCTACCTTAGGAAGTAGGATAATTTCATATTTTTAATTTTTATTATTTAAAAAAATTTTTAAAATTCTGATTTGTTAGATATAACAGTGGAATGTATTAAAATTCATATTACGTATGTAGACCACAATTTTTCATATCTCTGGTTGTATACAAAGTGTATTCACACCATTGTGTCTTTATACATGTACTTTCGATAATGATGTCCATCACATTCCACCATCATTTCTAACCCTGTGTGCCCCCCTTCCTCTCCCACCGCTTTTCCCTATCTAGAGTTCATCTGTTCCTCCCATGCTCCCTCTCCCTACCCCACTATGAAACAGCTTGATGCTGGTTATTTTAATGAATCATAATAATAGCCATTATTTATGAGGTGGTTAGCATGTGCCCAATACTGTTAAAACACTTCATGAACTAGATTTTTTTTAAAGTCATGTTTGATGAGATATAATTTATATATGGTACAATTTTCCCTATTTAATTTAATAGTTATGTGAATTTTGATAACACAAATATAAAAAATGACCACATACAAATATGGATATATAGTACTATAGTGAAGATACAGAATGTTACCTTGTTCTCCTTTTTTTAAAAAAACAAATAGAGAAATTAATTTTAATATATTTTCATTTAAACCAATGGGTTACCAACATAATTTGCAAAGAAAATAATTGTTAGTAAGATATTTCATATTCATTTTCTCTGTCCTAGTAATTCTTTGGAGTCTAATGTCTATTTAACACATAGCACACCTCAATTCAGACTAGACATATTTCACATATTCAGTAGCCTCATGTAACCAGTCGGCTCCTTTCTTCATCTTTCACCTTTTGGTGAGACATGTGCTGTAGACTGAATGATAAATCCCCTTGTTATGTGGTTTCTTGTTGATTTCCATCAGAAAGGGATACTAATAGATGAACTTAGAATATACAAAAGCAGAGTGAGGTGTTTTATTCCTTCCTTTACGACTCTATTAGACTTTGAGTTGGTTTCTACATGCTTTTGGTGGGAATAACTTCAGTTAGGTCGCCTTCTCCTACAAGTTTTTCATAATGGCTGTCTCTTCTTTCACCTGCTAATTTGTTAGTTTCCCTCAACCTTGCCCTTACCTTTATAAATACCTTATAAAACAATTTTTACTCTGGTTCTTTTTCATTCTTGAATCTTGAATAATGGATTTTTAATTATAAGAGAGTAAAATATACCTCATCTCATGTCACAGGCAATGTATATACACATATCAGATTAATTATATATTAAAATATAATGTATAAAATGCTAAAACTTTTAAAGAAAATATTTGTGTAACTTTGTGAAGAGAAATGGAAAACAAAAAGTACAAAATAAACAAAAACCTGGAAAATTAGATGATATTTGTAGTTAAAAACTTACCCCAAAGGGTTAAAAGAGACAGGAATTGTATTACTGGTCATTTTTGATATTTAGCTTGACCTGGTTTCTCCTTTGGTTGGCTTTTCCTTTATTGTAGTTTTTCCCTTTACAGATTTCACTGTTGTTTTTTATTTCCTCCTCATGGAATATTTTGCCAAGAATGTTCTATAGTGCAGGCTTTCTTGCTGTAAATTCTTTTAGATTTTGTTTGTCATGGAAGATTTTTATTTCCTCGTCAAATTTGAAGCTTAATTTTGCTGGATATAATATTCTTGGTTGGCACCCATTATCTTTTAGAGCTTGATATATGTTGTTCTAGGATCTCCTAGCTTTGAAAGTCTAGGTTGAAAAATCTGCTGAGATCCAAATTGGTCTTCCCTTATAGGTAATCTGATTTTTTTCTCTTGCGGCCTTTAAAATTCTATCCCTATTCTATATGCTAGGCATTTTCATTATAATGTGTCTTGATGTAGATCTGTTGTAATTTTGTAGATTTGATATCCTATAGGCTTCTTGTATTTGATTTTCTAGTTCATTATTCATGCTTGGGAAATTTTCTGCTATTATTTCATTGAAGAGATTGTGCATTCCTTTGGTTTGAATCCCTGAACCTTCCTCTATCCCAATAAATCTTAAATTTGGTCTTTTGATGGTATCCCATAATTCTTGAGTATTCTGTTCATGGTTTTTTACCATCTTCACTGTGAGGTCAACTTTATTTTCAAGATTGTATATTTTGTCTTCATTGTCTGAGGTCCTGACTTCCAAGTGATCTAGTCTGTTGGTGATGCGATCTATTGAGTTTTTAAATTGGTTTATTGTTTCTTTCATTTCAAGGATTTCTGTTTGTTTGTTTTGTTTCAGTATCTCTCTTCAAGTAATCTCTTGCAACCTGTATTTGCTCTATTATCTCTTCTTTGGTGTGAAAGATTTTTGCCTGTATCTGCTCACTTAGGTCATTCTTTAATTCCCAAATCATTTTAGTTATGTATGTTCTGAACTTCTTCTCTGACATTTCACCCACTGCGCTATCTATGGATTCTGTTGTTGTAGTATCTTGGTTTGTTTGGGGCACTTTCCTCCCTTGTTTTTTCATGATGTCTATTAGTCTTCCTCTCTTGCAGTGTAGATCCAAGATATTTCAGCTTCTGCCCTATTGTCTTATAGTGTCTCTATAGGTTACCAATACCTCATTTTTAAGGGAGAGATCAATATTACAGCATTCAATGTATCCAACGTGCAGCCATATACCAGTTAGCTTCTATTTTTTCCATTTACAGTTTTGTCACTATAAACAGAAATGATGAGTTTGGTTTTCTTCTACCTTATAGTCAATAGGTTTGCATAATGGTTTACAGTTTCTAATGGTAGAAGAGGGGACTGTAGGGTTGGCTGAGATGTTTATGAGGTAGGATGTGAGAATATGGAGGTATTAGATTATATGAGAAGTGAAAGGGTAATCATAAGAAGTTGGCTGTTAGTAGGAGAAACAAGAGATAGGCAACCCCATGCAAGACTCCCTGTTACCTCAGCAACAGGGTTAACTGTTAGGACCCCTAGTAGTGAAACCTCTGGTGCAGCCAGGCCGACAGGGACCTTAGTGATGTCTTACCATGTCTTTATTGTTGTCCCTTGATAGAAGCAGTGATTTACCAGTTTCATGGCAGTGGCAGTCTCAAGCCTACATGTACCCTGATATTGGGCTGTGGAGCCATGCTTTGATGGATAAAGAACCCCAGTGTGGGGTGGCTGACCGTGTATCTTCCACGGGGCGGGCCTCTCCTGGATCTTAGGCCTCAGTATCTTTTCATTTTTAAATAAGGAAAAGTTCTACAACTTTTTTTGGTAGGGGAGGGTATATGTGCGAGTGAACCCAGGTGTGCTTATTAACCACTGAACCACATCCTCAGCCCCCCCCCCCCTTTTTTAAAAAAAATTTTGAGATAAGGTCTCACTAAGTTGCTTAGGGCCTAAGTTGCTGAGGTTGGAGGAACTCATTTCTTTCAAAGATAAGTGTCAGGTAGAAAATGTTGCTCAAACTTTGATGCACAATGAGAACCACCTGAGGATCTTGTTAAAATGCAAATTGTGATTGAGTAGGTCTAGCTTGGTGTCCAGATTCTTGGATGAACCATTGTGAGTAGCTCATGATTTTTTTTAAAACTCAGCATTGACTGTTGCTTTCGTCTGGGATAAACTGTTCATAACACTTATTCTCCTGATTGTCTCTTATTTTCAAGCTTTGGACTCAGAATAGGATATGAAGGTCTATAAGATATCAGGCCCTTTACAGAAAACTTACATTCCCATGGTGGAGACACATGTTAATTAATGGCCATGAACTTTGAACCTTAAAGTGTTCATGATCCTGTTTTCTTGAAGGCTAATGAATGATTGCCTATGATTCATGGATTATATTTTATCTTTAAAAGGCTATAATGAGGATGCCATGTCTTGCTGCTTCTGTTTCTGTGAGCTCCACAAAGATAGCTTCTCTCTGGCCTATCCTTCATGACTGTCCTTGAGCCAAACAGAACCCTACATAACTCTTTCCCTTGAAACTTGATCCATGTGCACTGGGAGCTAATTATTGCATTTGCTACAACTCCATCTGCATTGTGATACAGAGTGTGTAATCGTTGCTAGGACAACATTCTTGAAAAATTATTATTCTTTGTCAGTTAAGTCCTACTTTATGCTTGTTGACATTACCATTATAGTTTTTAATAATGTAATTTTTTAAATAACCTTCAAACGCGATATATAATCCAGAATAAATGTTTTAGCATTGGTTATGTGATATTGGGCATAGGATATCTGTAATTTGTTACTCGTTATTGATTGAAAATTCTTTTAACTTACTGATAAAATGAATTAAAAACAAGTTCAATGATAGTGGCTCATTTGCTAATTTTTCCTTCTTTGAAACAGGAAATGGAGCAGACTAGAAGTGCTGTGGATGAGGACCGGAAAATGTATCTTCAAGCTGCTATAGTTCGTATCATGAAAGCACGAAAAGTGCTTCGGCACAATGCGCTTATTCAAGAGGTAAGAAGGGAAAAGTCCTCAAGACTTCTTAGGTAGAGGATATTATCAATGTACAGATTAACTCTTGTTTCTTCTTAAACATGATACAGACATAATCTCCAAATAGCATAGATCCTCAAAGAGATATTGCATTATTTAATGAGAATAGTACTTTCCTAAAATTTTGGTGTTAAATTTGGATTTGCTTTGGCTTGAATTTGGAGATTGAAATTCAGACTTGAACATCCAGACTTGACAGTTTATTGAGACTTCTTTACAGTTATTGAAGGAAGTTGAATACATCAAATAGGCATTCATTTCATGTAAACAACAGTGTTTTACCATGTGATGGAGTGCTGAGCTAGACAGTGGGGATGTAGTGCCAAGCAGCTAAGATGTGGCAGCACTTATGGAATTCATAATGGAGTAGAAATACATTATTAACAAACAATATGCAAGTAAATGGAAAACTATATTATATGCTCTGAAAGGAAGACATATAGAACTACAAGAATGTATATAGAGATTCTGATATATATATATATATATATATATATATATATATATATTCATGTCTCTATATAAGTGGTACACTAGGTAACACTTATATAGAGACATGAAATTCCAGTTGCTGGAGTTATCATGGTGGTGCACACCTGTAATTCCAGCAACTCAGGAGCTGAGGCAGGAGGATCATAAGTTCAAGACCAGCCTCAGCAATTTAGCAAGACTCTAAGTAACTTAGTGAGACCCTGTCTCAAAACAGAAGTAGTTTTGAGCACCCCTGGGTTCAATCCCCAGTATCAAAAAATAAAAAAAGAAAAAGAAAAATAAGTCCTGATATAGGGGATGTTGGGGAAAGCTTTCTAGATAAAGTGATGTTTTGAGCAGAAAACAGAAAATGGAGTTAAATGAAAGTGTGGGCAAGTGTATGAGTGTTTAGATAGATTACTTAGTTTATGGTTTCATTTAATTATGCATAAACATTATTAAATTTTGTTTTGTTCTATACCATAATTCTTTCACAATGTAAGCATTACAATTTTTTCCCTTACTTTGAATAAAAATTCTTTTCAACTGGCATGTCAAAACTGATAGATCTGATTATTCTTTCCCTGTGCACTGCCTTGCTTTGCTTAAAAAATTTAATATGGAGCATGTGTGGTGGTAGATGCCTGTAATCCCAGCTACTCCAGAGACTGAGGCAACAGGATTGCAAGTTCAGGGCCAGCCTCGTCTCAAAATTAAAAAAAAAAAATTAAAAGGGCTGGGTATATAGCTCAATGGTAGAGCACTCCTGGGTTTAATCTCTAGTACCACAAAAAAAATAAATAGAATTTAATATTGTTCATGCAACTTACTTATTTGCCCTATCAGTTCTATTTTGAATGATTTTATTCAGCTTAATTAATATAAGCTGAATATAATATTGGTTAATATAATCTAATTTAGGTATGTTTGTTGAAACCTCAGTAAACTTGAGAAAGCTTACTGCTAATTGTTTAAAAATATTTATTGATAGCTGGTTTATTAGTGGTAGTTTGACTTCCATGTCTCTCTTAACACAGGTGATTAGCCAGTCAAGAGCTAGGTTTAATCCAAGTATCAGCATGATTAAGAAATGTATTGAAGTTCTGATAGACAAACAATACATTGAACGCAGCCAAGCGTCCGCAGATGAATACAGTTACGTCGCGTGATGTTGCTCTCCTCCAGTGTGGGTGTGAGAAGATCATTGCCATCACCATTCGGTGTGTTCCTGTGGGAAAAAGCAGGCCTGTGCCTCCATAATTTGGTCATTTGGCAGCCCCTGTTTTTCTGCTGTTTACAACATCACCAGTGCCACGTCATGAGCGTCAAAGAAAATGCCTAGAGATATTTCAAGCTCATGTCATTATGACATTTCTTAAAACTTTTAAAAGAATGAGTGAAGTATTGCTGAAATGTGGAAATTTGGTTGGGTACCATGCTTTCTCTCCCCTTCACGTTTGCAGTTGATGTGTTTTTTTTTTTTTTTTAATGTATCTTAAAGGACATAAAATAAAAACTTAAATATTGTAATATGACAGATAACATAATAATTGTATCTACATTAAAATGACAAACATGATATTGCTGCTTGTCAAATAAAAAAAATAAAGAAATAGAACGCCTTTTTTTATGTGGTTGGAGTATCAGGATGGCCACAAAACAATATATATATAAAAATATTGATGAGTCATGCAAGCAGTTAATGCAGCTTTGTGTTTTTATCTCATTGGTTTAATTTATCTTCATTAACTCCTCCATGAAAAATGTCTAAAATTATTGCATTTAGCATTAAAAAAATGCTTTATTTTTATGGATTTAGACCTGCATTGTATATGAACATTTTGAATATGGAAGACATAATTCCATCAGCAGCTTCTGGTGATGTGCTTATACCATACTCACATGTATGAGTAGTATGTAGTGACATCAAGCCTGGTATAAATGGAGCCTTTCATTCAAATTTGTCATACTACTGTTTTTATAACACACTAATTCTAATATAGAATAATATCCCAGTTTTGCCTTCCCTGAGTTGTAGGAGACCCTCTGATAACAGTCTATTCCTTCCATTTCCCTCTACCTGGTATACTATATCCACTCCTGTAAATCACACGGTTGCCTCACAGTGCATAACCTAAATAACCTTTTTTAAAAAACAAATCTATTTGGTACATTACACCAGATACACCAGGTACCACTTATATAGAGACATGAAATTCTATTTTGTTTATTATAAGTCAGTGGGAATATTAAACTACTTTGGTATATTGTTATATTTAAATTCTATCTGCCCCTGGCCCCCACAACATATAATTTTTTAAAGCTGGAATATTTTAAAGTATATCCCATACAAATCATTTCACTTTTAATACTTCAGTTTGTATGGCTAACAGATAAGGCAGGTCTTTAAAAAAATAACCACAATTATATTATTACAAATAAACAGGAATTATTTAGAGTCACCTCACATGTGGTTTTAATATATTTAAATTTCTCTTGTTGAAAAATGACTTTTACAATTGGTTTATTTGATTATACTTTTTCTGACTTGTGTTAAGTGTTTTAAAAATCATCTAGTCATGGTGGCACAGTCTTGTAATCCCAGTGGCTCAGGAGGCTGAGTTAGGAGGATCATGAGTTCAAAGCCAGCCTCCACAAAAACAAGGTGCTAAGCAACTCAGTGAGACCCTGTCTCTAAATACAATATAAAATAGGGCTTGGGGTATGGCTCAGTGGTTGAGTGGCTCTTGAGTTTAATCCCCCTAAAAAATCAACTGATAATTACTTATCTAGTGTATTTCTCTTACCTTTCTTCCTAGAGAGGAAATAGTGGCAAACTCTATAATATTGTATATTTACTGTCAAAACCCAAAATGCTTGTTTTGAGAACTTGTAAGTTTTCCAAATTGGTTCCTTTTTCTCTTAAACACTTATAAAGTTTAAATTAAGACTTACTCTGGTATCTAATTGTCAAGAAAATATATCATATTAAAAAAATGGACAAAATAATTGTACTAAAGTCTACATAAATGACAAAAGGTTTCTTCACATTTTCTCCCCTTTTTACTTAAAAAGAAACCTATTACACACATACATGAAGAAGAGGCCAGATACATTCAACCAAGTCACCATCCAGAAAGGGAGCAATATTTAGAATTCATTTTCGCACACACCTTCCCTAAAGAGAATGTACACAGAGTTGCCGTCTCATCACATTAGCTCAAGCAACTGAAATATCACTGTAGCTCAGGGTGCCAACCTGGGAGGCCCTGCTGTACAATGCTGAGTGCTTGTGGGAGAAACTGGTCAGCTATGAAAACGAAAGAGGAGGTAGGAGAGGAGAGTTTTCTTATGCTTTTTTTTAAAATTGTTCTACTTAGTTATACATGACAATAGAATGCATTTTGAGACATCATACATAAGTGGAGTATAACTTCTCATTCTTCTGGTTGTACATGATGTAGAATCACACCAGTCATGTAATCATACGTGTACATAGGGTAATAATGTTTGATTTATTCTGCTATCCTTCCTACCTCTTGGCCCCTCCCCTCCCTTTACTCTTCTCTCCCTAATCCAAAGTACCTCTGTTTTCCCCTAGTCTCCTCCCCCCTTATTATGAATTAGCATCTGCATATCAGAGAAAACATTCAGCCTTTGGCTTATTTCACTTAGCATGATGTTCTCCAGCTCCATCCATTTACTGACAAATGCCATAATTTGATTCTTCTTTCAGGCTGAGTAATATTCCATTATGTGTATATACCATATTTTCTTCATCCATTCATTTGTTGAAGGGCATGTAGGTTGATTCCAAAGTTTAGCTGTTGTGAATTGAGCTGCTATAAACATTGACGTGGCTATATCACTGTAGTATGCTGATTTTAAGTCCTTTGGGTATAAACCAAGGAGTGGGATAGCTGGATCCAATGGTGGTTCCTTTCAAAGTTTTCTGAGGAATCTCCATACTGCTTTCCATAGTGGTTGCGCCAATTTGCAGCCCCACCAGCAATGTATGAGTATACATTTTCCTCCACATCCTCGCCAACATTTATTGTTGCTTCTCTTCTCTATAATTGCCATTCACACTAGAGTGAGATGGAATCTCGGTATAATTTTGATTTGCATTTCTCTAATTGCTAGAGATATTGAACATTTTTTCATATATTTGTCAATTGTATTTCTTCTGTGAAGTGTCTCTTCAGTTCCTTAGCCCATTTATTGATTGGGATGCATCCTGGGATGAACTCCGCTTGATCAAGGTACACTATCTTTTTAAAATGTTTTAGTATGCAGTTTGCCAGAATATTATTGAAAATTTTTGCACATCTGTTTATCAGGGATATTGGTCTGAAATTTTCTTTCCTTAATTTGTCTGTCTAGTTTTGGTATCAGGGTGATACTAGCCTCTTAGAATGAGTTTGGAAGGGTTTCCTCCTTTTCTATTTTATGGAATAATTTAAGGAGTATTGATGTTAATTCCTCTTTGAAGGTCTTGTAGAACTTGGCTGAGAATCTGTCTGGTCCTGGGCTTTTTTCAGTTGGTAGGCTTTTGATGGTATCTTCTATTTCCTTGCTTGAAATTGATCTGTTTAAATTGTGTGTGTCCTCCTGATTCATTTTGGGTAAGTGATATGTCTCTAGAAATTTGTCGATGTCTAAAAGATTTTCTATTTTATTGAAGTATAAATTTTCAAAATAGTTTCTAATTGTCTTCTATATTTCAGTAGTGTCTGTTGTGATGTTTCCTTTTTCATCATGAATTTTAATAACTTGAGTTTTCTCTTTTTCTTCATTAGTGTGGCTTAAGTGTTTATCAATTTTACTTATTTTTTTCCAAGAACCAACTTTTTGTTTTGTCGATTTTTTTGAATTGTTTCTTTTGTTTCCATTTCATTGATTTCAGCTCTGATTTTTATTATTACCTGTCTTATGCTTTTGGTGTTGATTTTTCTTTTTCTAGGGCTTTGAGATGTAATGTTAAGTCATTTATTCATTGACTTTGTATTCTTTTAATGAATAAGCTTAATGCAGTGAAGTTTCCTCTTAGGAGTGCCTTCGTAGTGTCCCAAAGGTTTTGATATGTTGTTTTGGTGTTCTTATTTACCCCTAAGTATTTTTTTTAATTTCATCCCTGATTTCTTATTCAAATAGCATATTATTTAGTCTTCAAATGTTGGAGTAGCTTCTATTTTATAATTTTATCATTGATTTCTAATTTCATACCACAATGATCTGATAGAATGCAAGGTAGTATCTCTGTTGTTTTTGAGTTTGCTAAGAGTTGTTTTTATATAAAAATAACGTGAATAAAACACTCCAGTTTTTAAAAAGATTATTACCACTAATAATGTGTGAATTAGTCATGCATTTTACAGCCAGACACATACAGCCCTTATTGACATTCTATCATTTCCCTTTGAAGCTAAATATTTTAATTACTACTGTAGGTACAGATTGTATGATTTAGTCTGAAGTGTTATAAAAATTTTGTTTAATATAAACAACAGATGGCCTGGGGATTGTTTTATTTTATAATCTATATATGCTACAATGCTCTTACACTTTTTTAAAAAATATATTTTTAGTTGTAGATGGACACAATGCCTTTATTTTATTTATTTGTTTATTTGATGTGGTGCTAAGGATTGAACCCCGTGCCTCGTGTGTGCTAGGCAAGTGCTTTACCACTGAGCCACAACCCCAGCTTTGCTCTTACACTTCTGTTCATTTTCTTAACCTTTATTGAGTCAAAACTATGACAAGAGCTTCTACATGTTATTTTGTTTAATCTTCAGATAATCCTGTTTGATAAGCAGTGTTTCTTTCTTATAATAGGAAGCAAAATAAGGAAATTTACCATAAACTACAGAACCTGAATTTAAAAACCATCCAAAGCTGTGGACCTCATAGATAACAGTCTCTTTCTATATTAGAATAGCCTGTAAGATAAATTGAAATAACTACATTTCATACATAAAGAAATTTTCCCAGACTTTTAAGAAAAAAATTCTAGTTAAATAATATGATAAGTAATTCATATTTTAGTTTCTTTTTTTATGCAGATTTCTTTATTTAATATAACTTTTAAATAAGAAAAATATCTTTGAATAATGAAATAATAAAAGAACCATAACAAGGCACAGGCAGAACATAAAAGGGAAGAATGAAATAAAAGTAGAACAAAAATATCATACCATCTACTATACATATTTTATTTGAAAAAATAAGTTAATTTGCAAACTGCTGTGCCCCGTTTTACTCTTCTGCAATTAATATAATAAGAAAACAATTATACATCAGAGTATTTATTAATTAAATAAAACAATAGCCTTTTAGGAAAGTAATGAACAAGCTATAAATTCATTATTAATAAGAAAACTACAGAAAATGTCACGTATCAATCTAAATATTTACAGTGGTAACTTCAAGTGGTGATAAGTATTTAGAGAATGAAAGAGCCATTTGAACATTATAGTAGTGTTTCAAGGGACATGTTGACACACATACAAAATCATATTTTAGTTTCTTTAAATATTTAAGGTGATATAAATATCAATGGTTAAGGGACTTATCTTGGCTCACAGCTGATTCACGGCAAAAAGTACTTGTGAGTTTAGTA